TATCAATTGTATATGTTAAAGGCTTCAACTTCTTTAGTTTGTATGAGCAAGTTTGACCTCGAATTAATAATAGGGTTAAAGTATTTAGTTTTAGTCTAAATTATCACAAACCCGATGTCAACTTAACTTTGCATAAATGTTTTTCATCAATCCTCGGTACCTTTGTTGCCATTTTTAGTTTTTATCTTTAGTAGGTATATCCCTCTTTGTTTTCAGTCTACTATCAAGTCAAGTTCTTTTTCTTGGTAGTTTGAAGCCTCTTTTAACCAACCATTTGTCCTAAATTTCGATCTAAATCAAAATATGAACTAATGGAAGCTGAAAATAGTTGAAAAAATAGTCAAGCTAGCATAATCAAAACTACTAACTTGGAAGAATTTTTCATTTTATAGTTTGCTATTTTAGGTTTGTTTAGTCCTTAGTTTGTAACTTTGCTTTATTTTAATAGTTCAACATAAGAGGATTTCAATTGTGCCTCTTGTTTTCACATAATAAGGGAAATTTTGAAACATAATGCTTTATTTTTAATTTTTGTGCCTCTTATGCCTCTTGACATTTAGAGAAAGGTATACAAATTTTACATCTTTAGAGCTTTAGAAAATAAAAAAGACCTTCTTAAGGTTTGAAGTGAACATCTTAAACTTTCTAATTTTGGGTTTAAATGCACAAATCTAATCTATTTTGGATTGTCAAAGTTGGTAGCAAAGTCGGGTTAGGAATTCGAATTCTATGACAATTCGAAACACCGATCGATATTAGGAGCACATCTAGAGTTTTGCATATTAGATTGAAATGATTCAAAACCATATACAAATAAAACATTTAAGCCTATAACACTCATAAAGAGCCCAAGTCCAAAATCATTCATCTTCTAATCCTAAATCGGTTTAAAAGTTTTAGCACGAAACTAGAAGTTTCATTCAACGAACAAGTCCTAATTAATTTTGAGGATAAGCCTAAATAGGACTTGTGAGCTATCATATTTATCTATACATATGTGTAAATAGCCTCTACCATTACACACTAAGGAAACACACGTTCTTTTAAATAATTTAGGGTTTATGCATTCACTATATATGGCTAAATTTTCTTAATTTAGTTCAAGGAATTTTAGTTCAATTCATAAATGATTGTGAGACACAAATTTGATCTTTAAACTATTCTTGATGATTTGAGTATATATTATTTCTTTGAACTTAATTAATTGATATCTAAATTTAATTAATTATGATTGTATATGTAATTATCTAAGAGGCCTATTAGTTAGTTATCTATGTGGTTAAGAGCTAATTAACTTTCTTAATTCGTAATTATTATGAAAAGTTAGCATAAGTAGCAAATTAGTTTTTTATGATTATGATCCTAATTTTTGTGATTACTTAAGACAAACAAAAGAATGAATTAAATGATTTAGTTGTCTTAAAATTATTATTCGAGTCTTAGCTTTCTTCTAATTTGTAATGTTATTATTAATTTGACTAGGATTATTTAGTATCAAAATTAATTGATAATACAATTTTAATTCATGTGCAAGGCTTTTAATTAATAAATAAAGTGAAGATTTAGATTTGTTCTAGGATCTAGATAAATCTAGACTAAGTATTCGATGAAATAATAGTAATTTAAGTGTTTATAATCAATCTACAAATTGATTGTTTGAATTTTTTTCTTAAACTAAAGTTTCCCTAATTGAAATTTTTCCTATTTAAATCTTGATTACTTATAATTTAACTAAGAAAAGAAAAAACTTTGATTCGATTAAGCAAACTTGATCGACCACTCTCTAGGGTTCAACTTAGAATTGCCATTAGTGCAAAAACTTGTTACGAACGAGTATTATAATTTAAATTTGGTGAGTTCAATGTCTATCAATAATATTCTTAAAAGTTTGTCCCTTTAAGTCGGTTTAGTCTCTGGTTTGTCGGGAGGGATTCTTTTTATGGCTTTACTTTCATTTCTTTTAATTAACCATGAATTTTACATTTGCAATAGATAATTGTTTTTTTTTATTTAGCATATTAATACTATAGTTTACCATTTAGCATTCATTTCTACATACATAACTAACTTACATGTGCCAAATTTGACATTCATAAATTAATTTTATTGTTAAAAAAAGGGAGTTTTAGATCTTTTTTACTATCCTTTGGTAATTGCTTGCATATCATATTTTGTATTATTTACTTATGCGAGGTCACCACTAGAAATTTCATCATATGATCCTACATTATGTCAACGAGTTCAACATTATGTCAATGAGTATCCTATTTTAAAGACCAATAGTGACATAATAAAATTTTACAATTAATTTGCGTATGCTAACATAAAATATTATTAATTTTTTTTTTCATTTCGGTAATCTAATCATATTTACTATTTACACCTATTGTATTTAATATATTTTAGATTGTCATAATGTTTTTTGCTTGAAATTCATGTCAAAATTTGAATTAGATCCGATATTAAATTTATGAGACTCCTAATTTTAGGCTACAATGGTAATTTAATGAGATTTCACAATAATTATCAATTAATTTAGCATGTCAAAAATTACTTCTTATTAGTCAAGTGTTTTTTTAAGTTTTACATTTTGCTTCTTGCTTGTGTAGTTTGCCATGTCCATTCAACATTTTTTTTTCACATAAACACTTATATTAAAAAGTAATCAAATTCAACATTAAATGGATGAAACTCCTAATTTTATGGACCGATGGAAATTTAATGAGATTTCATAATAAATTTAACATATCAAAATTGCATCTCAAATAACATGATGAAATAATCTTCCCAACTTAATTCCAAATTCACAACTTAATAATAAACTCACAAATAGACTTAGAAAATAATTTGACAAATAATGACTTAAAGAAAACGAATTGAGGTATGAAAACGAGGTAACTTTCTTAGGAAATGATGTTTTTAGATTATTATTATCTTTTCTTAGATATAATCAACTCCTTACTTATTTCTCTAAATCGAGTGCAATTTTAGAATTCTTAGTCTCCTTAAAACACTAGGTGGCAATTCTATTTTTTTACTCTTTTATTCTAAAAATCTCATATGTTGAGCAGCAATAAATTTCAATAAGTTTTCTTCTTAAATCCCCAATTTGATTGAAAATTATTCTTCCATCATTTGAACATGTGACGAATTACATGAAATTCTTAGGTGTTGTTTGGTATCATTTTTGTATTTTATTTTCTCGTTTTTGTTTCTAAATTTTTGAAACAAAATATAAAAACTTGTTTATTTTTATTTTTAATTTTTTGAAAAAGTAAAATTAACAAGTTTTGAAAAACCAACGAAAGGTGTTTTTAAAAATTTTCAAAACTAGTTGTCTCGCTATCACTATATGTTTTGGGGGAAAAAAAGACATGGATCATGCATAGAGTTCATGCCAGCACGAAGTCCGGGATGCTCGAGATTTTGATCGAGACCAAGTTTAAGATGTTTGAGTTTGGTTCAAAACCATATCTAAGGAACTTAGGATTCAAGCCACACCATGTTTACGAGTGTTTGGTGTTTGGACCGAGCACCAAGTTTGGGGTGCTCGAAATTTTGTTCAACCAAAAGTTGGTCCAAAGCCTAGTTTGGGGAGCCTAGTAGTTGGTTCGAGACACTCGGGATTCTCGTTCGGACTTGGTCCGAAGCAACTAGAAGTCCGCTCGAGACCTAATCAAGAGTCAATCTAAGACTAGGTATGGGTCGAGATCGGTATTATGGTCTAGGGCACCCGGGAGTTTGTCTAAGATGGCTTTTGATGTTTGGGTTAAGATTGGATCTAAAATGCCTACGAGTTAGGACAAATTGAATTCAAAGTGATAGGGTCTTGCTTGGGAGTCCGTCAAGGTCGAGTATGGGGCAACCAAGGTATGAGAGAGATCAAATCCAAGACGTTTGGGGTTTGGTTTGGCATCAAGTATAGGGGCTCGTGGTTTTGAACGAGACCAGGCGCTTAAGGTTTTTGTCTAGTCCCGGCCTAGGACAACTAAGTGTATAGGTCGTGACTAGATTCGAAGCACTCGGTGTCAAGATAACACCCGATTTGAGGGGCTCAAGATTCAATCAAAACTAAGGGTGGGGCTGGGACTCGGATTGTCCGTGGTTCGAGCTAAGACTAAGTTAAATGAGTCTAAGAATTAGGTTTGGGGAGCCTAGGGTTCATGGCTATACCAAGTCCAAGGCGCTTAGAAGTAGGCTCGGAATTGTGATCGGTACTAGGTTTGAGCCAATATCGGGTCCAAAACACCTAAGGTTTGGGTTGGGATCGGATTTAGGGTGTCCGAGGTTCAAGTGTTGATTGGGTACAAAGAGCTTATGGCGTGGATGAAGACACCCATGCTTAGGTCTAAGCCAAGATTGAGTACAAGATTCTAAAGTGTCGAAGATTAGATCCATAACAACTCGAGGTCGAGTCGGGAGCACTTGAGTTTTGAGTACGAGAAGTCAAAAAATATGTTCTAATAACTTTAGTATCGATTTGAAACTAAATGCATAAAAAAAAAAATACTAACTAACTAACTAGTCAATCAAACAAATTTTCAGTTTTTTCAAAAATAAATTAAAAATCTAAAAAATTACGGAAACAGACATGTTACCAAATAACATCTTAGGTACTTGTGAAGTAGCTCTTTGTGAATCGGATAAAAGTGGGATCCATCCTGATAATTACGACGCAGGTGAGGAAGCAGCGTTTGGAAAATGCTTAATAATCTCTAAACTTCTAATTTATTTAGAAATTAGAATTGGCGCGCGCTTGGGATTCCAATGTCAACCGCGAAAAAACAAAGTGGTTCGGTATAACGTCTCAATCACGCTTCGTGGCAAACTAATAAACAAATCATCATACATCAGATCATCATAATTTTTAAAATAATCAATCCATCAATCTTACTAGAGAGAGACCCTAATCCTAAACTTTCCTGCAGTTATATCCTTCTCTTCTTCTCCAATGCCGAACCTTCCTTTCTCTCGGTCGCCTCCTTTCATGTTACAATTATATGGGCTGCAGCGACGTCGTCGGCGGCGATTCTCCGAAATTACCGCCGGACCAGGAGGGAGATGCGGAGCCACAATGGCCGCCGGTCGTGGTGGACGCGGAGTGTTTCTCCGATGTCCGGCTCAGAGACGCTCCTATACTTTGGTTCGTTCATTTCCACAAGGCACTGCGCGAGGAGATAGCTGACCTCCACCGTCTGGCAGTCACGGCCTCCGAGAAAGAGAGTGTGCCTCGCCGACCCGAGCTGGTACTTGAGCTCCGTCGAAGATTCGATTTTCTCAAACTTGCGTATAAGTATCACACAGCTACCGAAGATGAGGTATGTATATATAAATAACTGACCAAAAGCTTTTCTGGTGACTCTTTTTTTTTTTTTTTTTGGTAGTTGCTGAGAAAATTGAAGAAGAGAAATATATGACAGAAAATAAAATTTAGCTCTAGTAATTGTCAGAATTAGGCTTGATCAAGATACAATTGATTATCTGTGCCTAACATTAATTGAATTTTGGTGAAATTTCTAAATCTGATGAGCAATTGGTTATTTTAGGGAAAGAAATTGTAGTGTTTACTTGGCAAAATTCAGGTAAGTAGCCTCTCTTATTTCTGAATAATTAATTAATATGAGCTAACAAATACATGAAGTTGACTTTGATGGCCACCGCAGTTTGTTTGCGGAGAGGTTTCCTTAGGTCAAAGCTTTCAGAAATGCTAATCGGTCTGGCTTCATCCCTTCATAGTTGGGTTTGCTAAGATAGATGGTCAAATTGCTTAGACATATGTAAATACTCCACAAAGATTGTATTATTGATACAGAAAAAATGTTAATCCTCATATTGAACATGTTTATATTATGCACTCAATGAACAAGAGACAGCTAGTTTAGTTTGCTTGATTGATGCACATTAGCATCGATATTTACCATGGGACATCATTTTGAAACCTGGGGCGTGAGATTTTTATCTTTAAAGTTCAAAATGCCATGCACTTTGACATTTTTCATGCTCTTAAGTTTGTGGTCCTTGTTCATGTATATGGCTTAGTGAATATGAATTATTTTCATGTGGCAGGTTATCTTTCTAGCATTAGATACCCACATTAAAAATGTTGTCCATACATATTCGCTTGAGCATGAAAGCATTGACAACCTCTTTGGCACTATTTTTCATTGGTTGGATCAATTGGACGAAAACAAAAATGGTTTGAAGCCCTTTCAGGAACTTGTAGTTTGCATCGGCACCATGTTGTCCTCCATTTGCCAGCATATGCTGAAAGAAGAAGAGCAGGTAGCCATTTACTTTTCCTTGATACTGTTAGTCACATGAATTACTGTGTTCCACCATGAACGATTTTTTTTTTTTTTTTTTTTTTTTTTTTTTTTTTTTCTGGTGCACTTTCCAGGTTCCTTGCAGAATTTTTCTTCCTCATTTTGTTGCTATCCATTGCTTTCGTGGTACTGCACTAACATGCTTCATTTTTCTTTTTTAACTGAACCGTGGTTCTAACATAGAAAAAGCTTTCTGATTGCTATACCATTTGGGTCGATTTCTGTATCTATTTTCATGGAATAGGATAGGCCTCTTTTGGATGTCAAGGAGCAAACACTTCATATTGGTATTGTTGCATTTCCAAGTTTTTAGACTTAGTCACTGACTACTCATGATATATTCAAAATTGTTTTTTGCCTAATATACTTTTATTCTAATATACTTTTTGTCTAATATACTTTTATTCTAAATTGCTTCTGGATCACCATGTCGCAACATCCAAATTGGCAACTCAATCTCCTATTATATTCAATAAAAATTTGAATTTCTATGGTGAAAATAGAAATGAACAAGAAAGATAAATGAAGACATGCAAGAATTGCAAAAGCACGGGGCAAAAATAGTGCTGCAGCTTCCTATGCAGTTCTTTGTTCTTGGTTTTAACCACTACAACATTTGCTCTACTGCTTTTAACGTTATGCTAAATGAATTCATAAATATGCCTAATGTCGATGCTTCACTTAGTAACCTTCCCAATAGGTGCTCCAATGTGCCACTATCTCACTAACTATACCAGCTAAGCCTAACCCTCACCAACCACAAATTATTGCTTTTTTTTTTTTTTTTTTAGGGAAGTAATTTCTTTTATGCAATTTTAGATGATTACTTCCTTTTGGAATTTATTTGGAAAAGATTAAATGCATTTGCAATAATTTATCACAAAAAGTAATAGTCAATTTTGTGATCCAAAACTCTTTAGGTGAAACTGAGGGTCATCCGAGGCTCGAATTGTACATTGTCTTTAAAGAGTGGAAGATAGATGACAATTTAGAGAAACCTGAAAAAGGTTTGTACTAGCTGTTTCCATGTTGCTGCTTCTGGTCATCTTCATTCCCAGCTGATGCCCAACAGGATGTTGCCTTCTGCTTAGGTTTCATAATTGTTTAACTAAACCCATCCAGGAGTTCTTTGAAAGATTTAAAATGAATTGCAAGATTAAGATGGGTTCAAAGAAACTAGCTATCTAACTAATTCTCTGAACAACCTTCTATCTGATGATTTTGAGCACTACACATCATGTTTGATATCATTCAAACTTTTGTTCTTTGTAGTAGATATACCATAACCATGGTCCACGTATATGCATTGGGGTGCAGGTTTTTCCTTTGCTTATGCAGCAATTCTCTCCCAGCGAACAGGCTTCACTTGTATGGCAGTTCATTTGCAGCGTCCCCGTGATTGTGCTGGAGGATTTGTTGCCATGGACGTACTCTTTTCTTTGCCCAGAAATACAGGTAGAAACTGTACAGTGCATCAGACAAATGGTACCCAAGGAAGAATCATTGCAAGAGGTAGATCCTGAGCTAATTTCTCTTCCTAGGATAAATCAACTCCCTGACTGTGATTACCTCATATTGTGTTGAAGGTGGTAATTTCTTGGCTTCTTAGAAATGATCACTCCTCTCCTGGGGCATGCATCAAGATTAGACAAGGAAATCAGGATGTATCCAACAAGATGAAAAGCCCACAGCAATTGGAATCCTCTAAGAGGCTTTTGGAACAAAATCAAGAAAGGAGAGAATATTGTGTCCAAACTGGCGTTGGAAAAAGTCTGGTTGATTATCTACATCTTTGGCATTTTGCCATCCAGAAAGAGTGGAAAGAAATTTTGGAAGAGTCATATCAGATTAGAAACTTAACCAGTGCTTTAAATGTAGATTCAATAGTTTTCAGGCTAAAATTTCTTGCTGATGTGATTATCTTTTACAGGTAATTATCATAGCTAACTGAGATATTTCTTTTTTACTAGACAACTGAATTTTGTAAGGTTCCAAGTATATTTTGATTTTTTCCCCTCCAGTATCTCTTTCTATTGACTATTTATCATCTTTTTCTTCATTTTTTATATTTTTGACAGGATGTTTTGTTGTAAACAGCACTGCATTGAAGATGTTCTTCTACCCTGTGTTAAAGCATGCGAATAAGCACTTGTTCCCCTCCTCCAGTGAGCAGTCCCCCATTGAAAATCACATAGAAAGCCTACAGAAGTTGCTGTACTGTCAAAATGGCTCACCCTTGTGCAACTTTGTAGAGAAGCTTTGCCAAGAGATGGAATCTTTGGCAATGAATCTTAGCAAACAATTTCTTTTTCTTGAAACAGAGGTACTGTGTTGTTATCTTCTTTTCTTTGACATGTTGCAAAAGTCTTGAGCCAAACACTAACACCCTATTCTCAACATTGTCAAATGATAAATTCCTGTCTTTATCAGGTCTTTCCCTTTATAAGCAAGAACTGCAGCCATGAAACACAGCACCAGATTTTGTACATGGGCCTTCATGTTATGCCACTGGGGTTACTGAAGTGTGTAATCCCTTGGTTTGCACTTCATTTGTCTAAGGATGAATCCAGGTCTATTCTTGATAGCATGAATTTGGGAGATGTTGTAGCCAATAAATCTTTTGCATCTCTTATGCTTGAGTGGTTCCGCATTGGTTATTCAGGCAAAATCTCCAGCGAAAATTTCTGTGAGGATTTGGAGAAAGTGTTCAGGAGCAGATTTTCAATTCAACCTGAGCAAATCGAGGATGTTTTTTCCTTATCCTCAAAGATACAACCTTGTAAACAATCTAAATCTAATAATATAGAACTGGTCTCTGCAAACAAGGGGCAAAAATCTCCGTCTTATGCTTTATCTCCTGGTTCCCACAAAGGTAAGGCATGTGACACATCCTACTCTAGTGAAATAAATCTGCATATATTTTTCCCTGGAACAATAAGGGCATTGCATGCTTTCCCTAAATTACCTGGTGAAGAGAGTTCTTCTGCTCCAACTATCAATCAACCAATACCAATGGATCTCATTTTTTTCTTCCACAAGGCTCTCATGAAAGATTTGGAATACCTTGTCTTTGGTTCAGTTAAACTGGCTGAAAACGTTGGATTCCTAACAGAGTTCCACCGACACTTCCACCTTCTGCAGTTTCGGTATCAATTCCATAGTGAGACAGAGGATGAAATTGCATTTCCGGCACTGGAAGCTAAGGAAGAAGTTCAAAACATTAGCCTCTCCTACACCATTGACCACAAGCTTGAAGTTGAATACTTTAATGAAGTTAGCCACTTGTTAGATAAGATGTCTGAATTGCACATTTCAGCTTCTTCTGATGGTCCAGAAAAGCAGGATAATTTGATGGTGAAACACAATCAACTGTGTAAGAAACTCCATTATACATGCAAATCAATGTATAAATTACTGTCTGACCATGTTCATCGTGAAGAAGTTGAACTTTGGCCCTTGTTTAGAGAATGCTTCTCCATCCAGGAGCAAGAAAAGATCATTGCACGCATGCTAGGGAGCATTAAAGCCGAAACGTTACAAGACATGATACCCTGGCTTCTTGGTTCTTTAACACCTGAAGAACAGCATGCAATGATGATTTTATGGCATCAGGTGACCAAAAATACAATGTTTGACGAATGGTTGCGAGAGTGGTGGGAAGGGCATGATATAGCTGATGTGGCAACGGAGTTGAATACTTTGTGTACTGCAGATCCTCTGGATATTATTGCAAGATATCTGCCTACAGAAGCCCTTGACAAACAAGGTGATGCTCTCCATGATACCATTGAGTTTTCACAAAGAGACTTTTATACCGTTAATATTGAGAAGCAAGAAGAAGAAAATTTGGATGATAAAGCAAAGTTACATAACAGAGATCGAAACACTGATGAATGTTCAGAATGCAAAAAACTTATTTGTGGGGGTGACAAGAAGAGATTTAATGAAGTTTCTGATCTTACAAATAAGATTGATAAACCAGTCCAGCCTTTTCAATTAACTCTGAAGTCCAGGTTTCATGAGCAGCTTCTGACAATGAGTCAGGACGATATGGAGGCAGCAATAAGAAAAGTATCTCGCGACTCATCCTTAGATCCTCAGAAGAAATCATACATAATCCAGAACCTGATAATGAGGTAGGTTTTAGCTTTTCTTTATTGTTAAAATTTTAATATTTTATAACATGCATCATTTGTGCATACATACTGAGGAAAGATTACCAATAAAACTTATTCTTTGACTTCAACCAGAATCTTTACTTCCCTTGGCCGAAGAAGATTATATCTTTTCAGATCAATTACTTTTAGTAGCTAGTGTACTAGGTTGGAGCAACAGACCAATTTATGCTATTTAGTACATCAAGAAACCAAACATAGATGATACCAAGAATATGCTATTCAGTCAAACATCAATAGAATATGAGTAGCTTCTTTTTTTTTTTTTTTTCCTTCTTTAAAGAAAAGAAAGAAGAATTTGACTCAAAAGCTCAATGACACTTGAAGTTGGCCATGATTGCAAAAATAAAACCACATCTATTGGTGTTTGCTTAGAGTCATCAATGTTGCCAGACACTTTTAAGTTCAGGCACTATATTCTTTTTCTTTCTGTGACGCCTCTGATGCGGACGGCAAGAGACTAAGATTTATGTTTTTTATTTAAATTTTAGAATGCAAAGGTATTTTTAGTATTTTTTAGGTTTGCTGGAAATCTGTCTAAGTCTAGGCTTTATTTCTGTTAGTATTTTATTTTCTTAGTCCCGAAGTTATTAGGTTTTCTATTCCTAAATAGGAATAGTTATAGGTTTTCCTATTCTAAATAGGAATAGTTATGTTAGAGGTTTAGGAATCCTTGTCCTAATTGGATTTGGACTTCTACAACTTTATAAATGCAGTATGTAGCCTTTTAATATTCAGTATGCAATAATATCAAATAATTTCCAGTAATTTGCTTTTGATTGTGTGACTCAATCTCTCTTAGGTGTGACTCCTTAGAATCCTAGGTGTGAAGCTTAGTTTTTCTATCCTCTAGGTGTGATTCCTAGAAACCCTATTAGTGTGACTCTAATAGTTCTATAATTCCCAGTACAACTTCACATCAATACTGACCTAAACAGCCCTAACCCTCCTTCAAAAATCAGATCCAGAACAGCCTCTAAGCTGTCCTGCATCAGCCTTTTTATCTACTAGTGGAATTTTAACAGCAGCCTCCATATTGTTTCAGCCGATGGATTGTTCATCAAAAGATATCTCATACAGAAGTTACCATCTCAAGTAATGGGGAAGAAATCCCAGGTCAGCATCCATCTTATCGGGACTCTCCAGAACCAATCTTGGGTTGCAAACACTATAAAAGGAACTGTAAGCTTGTCGTGCCTTGTTGCAACAAGCTTTATACATGTATACGTTGCCATGATGAGTTGGCTGACCATTCCACTGATAGGTATGACAAAACTTTGAATAACATTCTATTCATGGCCCTTTGAATTTGTTGGCCTTTTTTCCTTCACTTCTTTACATGTTTATATCCCTTATGCAGGAGAACCATTACGAAGATGATGTGCATGAAATGCTTGATTATACAGCCAATTAGGGAAGCATGCTCCACTGTCTCCTGTAATAATTTATCCATGGGAAGATACTATTGCAGGATCTGCAAATTGTTTGATGATGAAAGGTGATGAAGCTTCATACTTAAAACTTTTTTCAAATTTACAATAATTTAGCTTGTTGAAATGGTAATTTCAACCAATGATAAGCATTTTAATTTATCTTCAACCAAGATACTATTGCAGGATCTGCAAATTGTTTGATGATGAAAGGTGATGCAGCTTCATACTTAAAACTTTTTTCAAATCTACAATAATTTAGCTTGTTGAAATGGTAATCTTCAATCAATGATAAGCTTTTTAATTTATCTTCTTCTTCTTTTTCCCCCAATGCTATCAAAATCTTTCATTCTCCCAACACTTCTCTTGTTTTTTTCTCCCTCCCAGTGTACCTGAGAAAAATTATTGCAGCAAGAAGCGAGATATGGAATATGTATGATAATCTAGAAGTCAGAAAACATTCCTTGAAATTAACTGTATCGGGTATCATCAACTTTTGAAGAACCATGGTGAGCATATCAAAAAATGAGAATCAGAAAATCTTGATCAGAGGCATGAGATTGAGGAAAGGAAGAGAACTTATTTTGATTAGATGTTTGATGGTAGTCACTTTGGGGAAATCTTTGAGATCTCACTACCTCATTAGATGCAAGAAATGCTGAATACACATGTGGCATTTGGACTTCAGAGGTGAAGGTGGCTCTGAAGAAGATGAGCATATGGAGAGCAAACAGTCTTGGCGGAATTCCTATTGAAGTTTGGAAAACTAAGTGGAAGTGGAAATGTGGGAGTGGTGTGGGTGATGAAAGCATCCAATAAGATATAAACGAGTAAGATGCTTGATAATTTGAGGAGCTACCTTTTCCCATATATAAAAACAAGTTTAATGAGCAAACTTCATAGTTGAACAAAATATTGGAGTGCTAAACTTATTAGATACTGTATGTAGTTCTGAGAAAGGGTGCTTAAGCGTGATTAACTGAGATGCTGCAGTATCTGACAAATAAATTAGGTTTAATGCTTGGGATACTGTCTATGGAGGTTGTCTTTCTCCTAAAAAGGTCAATAAGAAATATAGGAAGAAGGGACTTTCCTATGGTCTTCATGATATAGAGGATGTTTATGATAGAGTGCCAGGAAATATTTTGGCAGATGTTGGTGAAATAAGGAACCCCTTCTAGCATATAACTTGAAACAAAGTATATGCATTGCAATTTTAGCAATGACATGGATATATGGGAGTTATTAGCCTATATACAGTAAATTCGATAGAATCTGATCATTTTCTCCTCGTACAGGTGCAGTAGTCATATAGTTGGCATAAATGGAGAAATGCTATTAGAATCTTATGCATAGAAAATCCTAATCGGTTAAAGGGTAAACTTAATAAACCTGTTAGGAGACATTGATGTAGAACATGTAGATGGAATTGAAGTAAAATATAGGAAAACTTCAATCTACTTGGCTTGCCAGAATCCACTAGGCTAAATTTGAAATTCACAAGGGATGCTTCTTTAGTTAACAAAAAATTTAGGATTCTTGAAATCCAGAAGAGGAAAGAAATGCCAAACTCAACTTTTCATTTATCAAAAGCTGTCCAACAAAATAGAATATATTTGTTGATATAAACATAGCAAAACCTTAATTCAGGTATGCCAAACTCAACTTTTCATTTATCAAACATTGTCCAACTTTTCATTCATCAAACTCTGTCACACAAAAGAATTCTAGATCTATTTGGTCGGGAATGTAGCTGAGATGCAGATGTTAATATGGATGTGCGTAAACAGAAGACAGACCCAGCAAGAAACAAATATAGTCTGTGACTCTGCTTTTCAGTGGCTAGATTTCAGGGTCTACATTATAGTACATTATCATAATTCTGGACTTAGATTGTAAGGTAATCCCGTCATAATTCATCATAACAAAATTATAATACATCACCCCAAAGTTATCCAATGTTTGGATCTATCCAAGTTTTGATCTTCCCCAGAATCTCAAAACATATAATAAAGAACATTCTTTCCTTGTTATTTAGGCAATCTGTCTCTGCTCTAAACAGTAAGTTCGATGTGTTTTAACTATTTGTAATTTAGTCCTCTCCTGCATTGGATCTCTTTCTATATTTTTGCCAGACATTTTTTTGAAGTCCAAATTGTCAAATATTTAACATAGAATATGTTCAACAGGGAAATCTATCACTGCCCTTACTGTAACCTCTGCCGAGTGGGGAAGGGATTGGGAATCGATTACTTTCACTGCATGAATTGCAATGCCTGTATGGCACAGTCTCTTTCCGTTCATGTATGCAGAGAAAAATGTCTCGAGGACAACTGTCCAATATGTCGTGAATACATCTTCACATCAAGCACTCCTGTAAAAGCCCTTCCTTGTGGTCATTTGATGCACTCAACATGTTTTCAGGTACCTGGCTCAGCTAATCTGCCTTTTTCTTCAAAGAGATTTAATGTATATTTATATAATTTTACTGGTGTTTCTTATGCTTCTGCTAGGATTATACATGCACTCACTATACCTGCCCAATCTGTAGCAAGTCACTTGGAGATATGCAGGCCAGTTACCTTACATTTTTTTCTGTCTTTTACGTTGTCACTTTTTTCTTCTTATTCTATTATTATTTTTATTTATTATTATTATTATTTATTTATTTTTGTTATATCCCATCCGCTCTTAAGCAGTTTGTTTACATTTTCTTTTTTTTTAATGTTTGAAGTTTTGCGTGAGTATTTAATATTCTTATAACATGTCCTTGATCATCATATTTCCACTTTTATCATGCTTGCCCAGAAGTAATCAAGGCACTCTGAAAGATGATTTTTGCAATGTTAAAACTGAAATTTACTGTAAATAAAATTTACTGGTTTGGAAAAGAAGAAGAGAAAACTGATTTGTTGAATTTAAAAGCTCACAATTATCCAAAATAAGTTCTTCAAGCTAAAACAGTTCTAACATATAGTTGACCACTTTTGAGGTTCGAGTAGTCACAATGTAGTATGACCTATCTTCTAGGGCTCATCTCATCTCTGAATTTCTGGATAAAACTAGAGAAGTGGTCTCGCCATGATGAAAAGCTCCTGTTTCTGTGACTAAATTTAATAAATTATTACAACTCAATAATTGCTGTGAAATTGTGTCAAGTGATATCATTTTAAACTTTAAGGATCAGTACGCAAGTAACTTAGAAGATGAATTAATTCCTATCAGCCAGCAAATGAGGCTGGCAGGACTTTTAAAAGTTTCTAGTGTGTGTTCAGTTCTAACTTAACTTCAATGTCAGAAATTATTTTCATCGTTGCTCCAGATATGTGTTTCTGTGGAGAAACAGCTCTCCGTGTACATTTTTCGGGCTATCTCGACAGTCTTGAATTTCTCTGTGTTCATTTTTGACAATTTTGATGTCTTATGAGAGGTCATGTGTTTAACAGGCTTTTTGTAAGCCATTGAATCTTCAATTTTCAAGCTAGTTTTATTCACCTGCTTTACTATTGTGGGACGCCTTGTCCTAAATTGTTGGAATATCGGTTCAGGTGTACTTTCAGATGTTGGATGCATTATTGACTGAAGAAAAAATTCCAGATGAATATTCTGGACAAACTCAGGTTTATAGTTCTCTTGCTCTCGCTATTCTTGCTCAAGGTTCTAAAACATATAATTTGATGGATTGTTAAAGGGATTGCAGGTTATACTTTGTAATGACTGTGAGAAGAAAGGAGCTGCTCGTTTCCATTGGCTATATCACAAATGCCCATACTGTGGCTCATACAACACCAGGCTTCTGTGACTCTTGCTGATGCAAAGTGAGTGTCAATAATTTCCTTCTCAAGATACCGCACGGAATGATGAACTTGTATATAATTGTTTGTACTACTTGCATTGGGTGAGAGTGATCGAATACAACTTTTCTAATAATTCAGTTAGAGTCTTTATTCGATGAGATATGTAGTAATTCCAAAATTTTGGTAAATTATTGTCCCTGAAGTTGCTTGGATTTGCTGTTTTCTCTGCTTCTATATATATATATATATATATTGATGAAAGTCATCAATATATTAAACGAAATGAGCCAGCAAGAAAGTGCCTAAAAAATGAGTTTAGAATACAAAGAAAATAGACAATTTAAGTGTATCTTATCAAAACTAGAGCTAAGCTAAACTGAAACATGTAAAGAAGCTGAACCATCTGTTCTGTGAGACCAGAGACTAATTGACAAGATTAAAATTTTGAAGATGGTTTATGTTGAGTGAACGGTACTTTTTGGCCATTTTGGCGAAGGTGATCTGACTATTTCCTTTTGAAGATGGTTTATATCGTTCATGAAATATTGATCCACAAAAGTCTGATCAACATATTCTCCAAAAGAAATTATTGATTTGATCACTGAAAAAAAAAAAAAAAAAACATTTTCGAGGGAATATATAATTGACTAAAATAAAATCCAATTATGGATGCTAGAACTTCATTCTAAACAATAAAAAGAAAATAGAACCTCAAAATTGTGGAATGTACTCTATGGCATCAATTACAAGGAAAAAGAATAATAATTTTTTTTTTAAAAAAAAAAAGGTAATATAATCAACATAAAATGCTATCATAGTTCTTTTATCTTGCTCCTAATCAATTGATACTGGTGAGACTGAAACACGCAGCAGCATTCTTCAATTCATTCTCTGCAACGTGCTCCATGGATAGTGTAGTGTCCTTCAATGACTCTTCTGAGCTGCATGCATACAACATAAAATTTGAATCATAAAATAATCTAGAAGAATTAAACTAGGACATTTATGACGATCGAAGAGCTTTCAGGACATTAAATTACCATAAATTTTACACAATTTAAACAAATATCTCTTCGAATTAGTATAACAATAGCATACCTGGACTCGTAGGGTTCTTTAGTCTCAATATATGACTGCCTGTCATCAATAGTATCAAAAAATGGATGCATCTCATCATAATCTTGAACAACTTCTTGTTGGGTAGCTAGTGGCTGCGAAGCAACTAACTGAGACTGAATAATTGGCATGGAATTGGTGTTATTGTTTGTAGCATAAGGATGTTGACCCCAAAGAGAATTCCCAACATTATCATTAGAATCCATGTAACTAGAACTGTAGCCAATATTACTGCTCATAGAATAGGAGTACTGTTGTGCCAGGCAAGGCTGAGGAGGTGCCATTCCTAATTCTAATTGAGAGGGAACATCCTCCGTTAAAGCCGCAATCTGATGGTGATGATGCTGCCTGTACATCTCAAGGTGTGCATGTACAGCGTGGAGCTCTTCTTCGACCTGCCGAATCTGGAAATGCAATTGACAAATGATGCCCCAACAGCCATGAACAGGAAACCTGTCACGAATATTAGCTTGGTAAATGATAGAACGCATCGCTTCCTCCTGCTGAGAAGAATCAAGATTCTCAAGTATCTTGAGAATTTTGCGTACACCGAACAACTTATGAGCATTTTGGAACATCTTCGGTTGGTCGGGAGGGAAGTAAGGTGCTAGAGGACATTCAGAGGAGCACTTCCTCCTTTGATATTTGCACGAAGCACAAGCTTGGCTGGTGCCTCCTTTAAGGGTCATGTTGTTACCATCAAAGAAGATAGATAGAATGAATGATTAATGAAAGAGAAGGTATAAACTAAGGAAATTATTAATAATAGTGGGGGAGAGGCGAGAGAGAGACGTGTGATTGTTGTTAGTTGTTGTTTAAACTCAAATGGTTAAAACGTAAACATTTTGATGCTGAACAAGTCTGATAAGAGCGGATTTGCTGGATGTGAAGAGACTGAGTAAAAAGAGAAGATTAACGAAAATCAAAGAGAGCGATTATGTCGGGGTTGGGTATTTCCTTCTTTATATTCGAAGTAAATATTAGTATATTATTATTGTTACCATATGATCGTTAGGGACAAGTGTAGCAATTCTAGCTACCGCAACTCCTATCGTTCTGCCTCATCTATCTATGACTATAGATGGAATGGAATGGTCAACTCTACACTTGATTACTCTCAATACTGTTTACGTGGCTTCTAAATTTCTGCATCCCTGCAGGCCAGGTTTGGACTAAACACAAAGGTGAGGAATCCTCGCTAGGTGATACCCTTGGGCTGTCCAAACTCATTCCCATCTGAGGTTGACCTGCGGTGCCTTGGATTTTAAAGCTGCTATGTTAAGGCATACAAATGCGCCGAGGTCGCTTGTGAGCCTCTAAGAACTACCTTGAATAAAAAAACAATAACAAAAACATCCCTTTGTTAAGGTAAGGTTAACTAGTTAATTCTAATTTATTTTTAAAGTTGATTTAAATAAGTGGAGCTTGAGAGTTCAACTCATTTTTAAGTTCATTCAAATTCTTTCTCCATCCGTTGCAATTTTTCTACTAATAACTATCCCGTCTTGCTGAAATTCCTCTCTCTAGTAAATCTCCTCTTGATTTTGAAGATACGGTCACGCAAATTTGTAAAAATCCGCATTATGATGCAAAGTTCAAAGTTATTTATCATAAATCATATCGGATGGAATCTGAATCACGTGTAAAACATAAACTAAAACAATTTGAGGGCTATGAAGCGATATATATATCTCGTTGTTTGTAATCTAAAATTCAAGTGTCAAGATAATTTTTTTTATACCATAAAAAAATAAAAAAATAACAACGTTTTAAACCATCGCTAATTCTAAAAAACCGTTGCTAAAATTGTTTAGTGACGAGTATAAAACTATCCAAAAAACCTTCTCGATGAAAAATTAGCGAAGGTTTTTTATACCCTTGCTAAATTAGTGATGGTTAATCCGTTGCTAAAACACTCAATTCCATCGCTATTTGGTAATGGATTTAGCGACAATTTTGTTAAAATGTTGCTAAATCCATAGCAAAAACGAACAACCTAGCGACTATTTTCAAAATCCATTGCTAAAATCATTTCTAATTAGCAACGCTTTTAGCGATTATTTAATGAAAACCATCATTAAATCCATTCTAATTTTAAAAAAATCTATTATTTATTTAATCGGTAATAAGAAAAAGTAAAATCCATTCTAATTTAACAACTATAATAGCACAATAAAATAGATTTATAAATATTATGAAACCTATATAATTTATAAAATAAATATATATATTCAAATATCAAATTATTTTAAAGTTTATTAATATTTCGAAAAAACAAAACATAAATGCTAGGAGAGATCGGTGAGATTGTCGATCGAAGGATCGGTAGATGAATTGCCTCTTTGCATGTTCAACAACATCTCGTCGCATCCGCCACATCATTATATGCTGCCCCTAAGTATACTACATGAATCGATTTGTAGTAGCTAAGAGCAATGTAATAGTACCTTCTAATTTCTTGATCTTTTACGCTTGTCTAGAAGAATAAGCCTCATTTCATTTCATTGGGCCTCAAGATTGGTATGGAACTGCGATGTGGCTGAAATAGAGAAAGTACTAACATTATAGTAATAGTGAGAGGCCCGTGATCCAAGTCCGTACATCCTATTTCTCATACTATCTCCTCCTCTAACGACTTTCTTAAAAATCTCATTTATTTCGATATCGAGCATTAAAGTACCTTGCATCTCCCGTTAACAATCTCCTCCTTAAACATTTTTTCAATGATCTCCTAAATAATTGCACAAATTTTAATATTAAATAGCTATCTCAATAAGTTACATGAAAGTGACATAACTATGAAATAACTTTATTAAATTACTTACTTCGAGAATTCGTACCGCTCATTGATGAATACATACATATTACCAACCTTTTTTCGTGAGTCCTCGAGAAAATCTTGTGGGTATTGGGTTTATGACCTAACTCATTAAGCTGAAACAAACTCAATATTTTTATATAATTTTTAGATAATTTATTTAACAATTAATTTAATATATGAATAACTTAATTAACACCCTTTTTTTAATTAAAGTAAAAAAAATTAAATTTAAAAAAACAATTAAATAATATTATTTATCACAATTAAAATTAATATAACTAACTACTAAATCACTTAATGAACAAATAAATATTTAAACTAACACCTAATAAATTTTGAAAAAAATTAAAGTATTTAATTACCAACAAACAAACTTAGTATAATTAACAACTTGAACAATACTAATTAACATATTATTAAATAAACTAACACTTAATTAAATTTTTAAACAAATAATTAATTTAATTAACAACAAAAAAATTAACTATAAAAACAAACTAAATTAAACTCACTAACAATAAATAAAAAATTAATTAAGCAATAAATATACTTAATTTAATTAGCAACTAACACATTAACTATAAGAAAATAAATTTTTTAAACTAACTAACAATAAAAAAAATAATTAATTAAACAACATAATTAAATAAACTAACACTTAATTAATTTTTTAACGAGAAAATTATATTAATTAATAACTAATAAATTAACTATAAAAACAAACTAAATTAAACTAACTAATAATTAATAAATAATTAATTAAACGGAAATATAAAATTATAAAAAAAGAAAAAAACTTAATTAGTTACCAATTACATAAATGATGGAGTAGAGAAAGAGGTAGGAGTTGTCGCCAACTCACGATGAAGAGATGGAGGATTTGCTATCACTTGTTGCTACATTGTGATCGAGAGATGAGGAGGGAAGGGAGAAGGAGGAGGGAATGAGAGAAAGAAGAAGATGATGAAGGAGGAAAGGGAAAGAGATGGAGGGGAAGAAGAAAGGAAGAGAAAGGAGGAGATTTGGAGGGAGTTCCGGTCGAGATTGGAGGAGAAATGGGGAAGACGAGTGGTGGAACTACAATTTACGGAAGAAAAAAAAACGAGAGAAAGAAAGAAGAATTTGAGAGAAAAATTTTAGAGCGATAGCTTTTAAGGATTCAATTTTTTAGCAATGGTTTCAAACCATCAATAAAGCTATCGCTAATAAACTTAAAATATTCAAATGTGATTGTTTTCCCTCCAATGGTAAGAAATTAGCGATGGTTTTAATAAACCATCACTAATTTTGTTATTTAGTAATAGCTTTCATCAAAACAAATCATTGCAAAATACTCGTCCTCTATTAACTAGGCAAACTATTAGATTTAGTGATGGTTTTTCAAAAATCATTGCTAAAAGCCAAATTTTTAGGAATTCATGAGGGTTTACCTAAACCTTCACTAATTCCTAAGTCATTACCCAATTTAGCGACAATTTATGCAAAATTATCACTAAAAAAAAGTCATATGTGACCAAGTTAACGACGTTTTGCAAGCTGTCACCAAAAACACATTTTTAAAAGGTATCGGCGATGGTTTTATGGAAATCATCGCTATTTTAAAGATTTTAATAATGATTTTTTAATGTGTCATTAAAAAACCATTGATAAAACCTATTTTTTTAGTAGTGTTCACTATTTTATAGAGAGTTCAAACGATCTTTTTTATTCTTTTATTTATTTTTTGTTTTTCTCACATTATGCTATCCTTAACTCTTTATATATATATATGAGTTAAAAGAGATAACTTTCTCTACAACTCGTGTAAGAGTTGATTTTCTTTTTTAAATAATTTTGTTATCAAGTCAACCGGTCATGGGCGATGCGAGCCAAATTTATTTCTCTAACATCTCCCACTCACACTTGATAGGCTAGACCGGACGCGAGGCTCTCTGTAATATCAATAGTAAAACAAAAAGGTACATTTTTATACTAGCAAATGGATCATATGACCTTGTGAGCATTCATATATTTTGAGAGCTTATTATTATATATATATTAGGAATAACATAGCAGTCTACTACCTAAGACTAATAAACAATATACAAGATACAATATATCATAAATCTCGCACATCCCAAACGGTTCCTTGTATTTAATATCTTATTATGTCAAATCTCTCAATTTGCATATAGTCTAATTTCATATTGTATATCCATAGTTATATCCACACAACTCTCAAGCAATGTTTCTTTCAAACAACATGATTGGTCGATAAATGACTATACCAAACAAGTGTTTTTTTCTTACTCAAAATTCTTAATTCGGAACTTAAATGCTTTTTTAGACTAGTTCTATAGATCGAATCATACATGATCATAAGTAACTAGCTCGGATAGCAAACACCAAGCCTAAATATTGATAGCAATAAAAAAGTGATAAGGATATTAGTTAGAGGATATTACTTGTTTCTCTAAAGATCTCACATAATGGAGAAGTAGGGATTCATTCTCCCATAATATTTTGCTATCGTATTAGCAGATGTGGTATAAATCACATGTTATAGTGTTCTAATCGTCACATCTTATACATATTGTATAAATCTTAGTTTAGTCAGCATATACAAGTGACTAACCTAATTGTTTAAGGTGTTTTCTCTTAACAAGTATTATCATCAAGATCTCAAATTTAGTTTTCACAAGTTATTTGGACCAAGCTTTCCAAATCGATTGTAAAATGTATATTGATTTATAATTTCATCTTAATTTTACATTAAAGCTACATTTTCTTAATCTTATATCCACTCTACTTACTCTCAACGACACTACAAAAAAAAATGCAAAATAGCAAAGGAAAAAGTCATCGTTATCGTAGCAAATTTTGTCACTA